TGGTCTCCTCCTTCTATATTGTGGGATAGTCTATGCAGTACTTACAAAGAGGCGTAACAGGTCCGGATACAGCAGTATTGGCAGTTCCATTGACTGTGCCACTTACAATTACACTCATAACGTCAAGAGATTACTGTTATTGCCACCAACCCCATGTCCAGTAACACAAAAACATTATGTACAATCAGAATGAATGACGCTGCCCTCAGTTTTAACTAGTCACAAAGCTAGATTGTAGTTCGCCATACCTGTAGATCTGTCAATGGTTGAAAAAATACGTGTATCACAAATTTTGACGCTCACTGATTGGTCGAGAATGGTCACATGCATATAAATATCAGATCCATTCAATGAGAGATTAAATGGATCTGATATAAATATATAAATATCAGATCCATTTAATCTCTCATTGGGTCAAAATAGATTTGGAACTAAAAGGTTAAATTTTTTTATGGAAAACATATTCTTGAATTCTAATGTGTCTTGTTTTCAACATTTGTAATCATGTACGTAACAAAACATATAGGCATTGTGTTTCGGTCACCTGGGGTTATACAACATTGGTCAAAAAGGTTGTCCCACCCCCATTTCCATGTACTTTTATTTTTACAAATGATCACCTTACAGGTGTAAATTGTTAAAAACGGTGCTTTTTATTCCAGATACCATGTCTGACATGATAAATGGTTAAAAAAAATACAAAATAGTAGTGAAAATATACACATTTTATACCATTTGGTCAAATTTATAACAGGTACCCCCTCAAATCCAATGTTTCACTGTGATTTCCACATATGTAAAGAAGTGTATATTTAATTAAAAAGACGCCATCAAATGTCACCAAATTTACACACGATTAGCATTAAGATGTGCTCGTTTAAGGTCACATGCCTTATAGCGTGTGCGTCTACCGCGTATTGTAATTATCTCCTGTAGATGGCGCGACAAGCCTTCAACAAGGGTAAAAATTCTGTTTCGTGGGATATTATCCCATTACTCCTTAACAGCTTGGGGGAGTTGGTCCAGATTATTTCGGAATTGGTTCTCCAATTTTAGGCTAAAATACACTTCCTTCTTAATCATATTCTGGCCTTTTTCAGGACTTCGTGCAAATTCGTGTCGTTACCAGATTCTGTCCTTTTCAGAGCCAATCTGCACGTCCTTAACCAGTTTCTGACCCATTTTAAGGCATCGTGCACATTCGTTTCTTAACAAGATAAATACCTTTTCAGCGCCCCATGTACACCTTGCTTCACAATTTGTCTCAGTATTAGACCATTTATGTCATTTCATCTTATTTATATTTCCTGTCAACTTTTCACGACACGCGTCTTCCCTGCAGGGGCAAAATAATGAAATCTCGGCTCAACTCAACCGGTCGAGAGGTAACGAGTGGGGAGGAGTGTGAGAGGCGAAGAGACCATTACAGGATTAAGCGGTCTTCCTTTCATATTTAGGTCGCGGCCGAGCTACACCTCGGCTTTTCTCGATCTGAAGGGTCTCTAATACTCCGTATTTTCTACCCCTTTTGTACTAGTATCTAAACAAAACTAACTCGGCTTTTCAGATCGTTTATTATGCTATCCCTTTCTAGCAGATATTCCAGCAGATGGGCTGTCTTTTCTTCAAGCGCTTTTATGCACTCGCTTTGTGCATTGATGATTGCACGCATATCTAAACCGATGGTTTGTTTTCATAATTCACTTTTTTCTCTGCTAAAACTGAGATCTCTTTTCAAACTTCCTCTTTCATTGTTATCAATGATGTTTTTTTTCCTTCTTTGATCATTTCTTTCATAATGTCTCTCATTTGTCCCACAGCTGTTCAATAGACATGGAGCTATGTAGGGCGAGACATCTTCAATAACGCATCTCTCGGGGATTGGAGAAGACTGGGTTTGGTGTTGAAAGATCGTCTGTGCTACCATAAAAAAAAACATGGTTTACGTCTTCTAAAATATTACTAAGCTGCTTATGGTCATGGTTAGGTGAGCTGGTAGCTCTTCTTTTCTTACTTTTATCCATTATCAAGGAGCGTCACCGCAATAATTACACTGTCATCACATATAATCTTTATAAAGTAGAGCCTGCAGCGTAAATGTATTAGCTGGGCTCTACTATACCCTACGGCATATAGCTGATGACTGCAGTCCTATTGTTGTTCTATTGTGTGAAATTCTAAGACGATTTGGTGAAAGTCAATGCCTACGCACTCTTGATGTATTTTCCAATCTCCATTCAATCACATATAACACCACAAACTGCTTAAATTCAGCTAAAAGTTCAAAATTGTCACCAGTCTTCAGTTCTGATATATTCACATGTATGTACATACAAAATCAGTTCGATATAGGTTGTAACAGCGTTGGATTTCCAGAAAATCTCACCTTACGATACGAGGCATGTTCCCAACAACAGGTTTTATCTCCGTGTCCACATTTTCATTATCAGACTGTTCCCCTGTTCTGCATTTTTCCCTCGCACAATAATACAGATGTAAAAAAAATAAATAAAAAATAAAATAAGAATAGAGGGAACCGGAGGAGACAGGTTTGTGCCGAAAGTGACGTGTAGTGGTGAAAGACGTGAAGTTGAGTGGTTAATTTTACATGATATGCAAACGTGTTAAATTCCCTTGACGCTCTTTGTCTCGCTGTCGGTCGATTCAGCATATATTTCAAAACAAATTGACAGCTAATTAAGCACAATATGCACTTTCATGTTTCTTAACACGTTTTCATATCATGTACCTTTTATTTCTACAAGTGTTCTCTGTCCAAAATGCCAAAAGAAAAAATGTTATCTCACCGTGTTGTTGGAAAAGAAAACGTTTTTTTTTCTTTCAGCACACGTCTTCACTCCCGCACCTCCAGCTAAAAATTAACCATTCAGCTTCAAGTCTTACACTACTACACGTCACCTCTGGCACAATCATGTCTCCTCCGGTACCCTCCCCTTTAGCAAAATATCAGGCCTGCCGCAACTCTCTCACAAATTCACTGAAAATTTGCTACAAACTCGCTGCAAGTTTGATGCTAATATGCTGCGAATTTGCAAAGCTAATATATTCTTGCAAATCTGCTGCTAATTCGTCACTAATTTGCCAGAACAGAAAGACATCTCTTGCAAACCTGCTGTAAACTTAAGTTTTTATTGCAAATTTGTTGCAAATTAGATGCAATACAAATTTCTCTTGTTAACTCCTGCAAGCTGGTTGCCGCACACTTGTAGTTTGCTGCAGTGTTGCCGCGATATTGCTGCAAACTTTTCATTTTGCTAAGGGCTTTTGTTCTTAGAGATTAAATAACACCAGTCAAAGAGTACGTTACCGTCAACCACAAATCAGTACAAGTCTTAGTCAGTGAATCCGATTAAATTTCTGCTGTCTTTAACCCTCGGTAGGTGGCGGCTCTGCGTAACCGGTTTTCCACAAATATACGAGTTTGCTTGGTCATCGTTACCATCGAGTACACACAGTCACTGTATCAGACTTAGCAGGTCAACCGGAAAAAAAGAGACGAGGGCGATGGGTCTAAATACAGCCTTATGATTGAAAACACCCTTAATACAAATCAGTGCAATGGGGAATTTACACTGCAGTTTTTGAGGGGTCTGATGTCAAGTAATAAGCGAGCGACTCCATTTTATGTGATTATTCACTAACATGGTGGCTTTCTACTGATATAATATAGAAGATGGATAGGATTAGATAGGAGGGCATGCGATAGAAGGGCTGATATTTGAGAGATCTCATGTCAAGCAATAAGCGAGCGACTCCATTTTATGTGACTATATACTGACATAGTGGCTTTCTACTGAAAAAATATAGAAGACTGAGCAGATAAGATAGGAGGGCATGCGAGAGAGTGAGAGGACATTGATCAGGAGATAGAAAGAAAGTGCGAAGAGATACACGATGAGAAGGAAAGAATGAGTGAAGAAATTGAGGACGAGAAGGAAGGAAGGGGTGAGACCGTGAAGAAAAATACAGGAGAGGAGTTGATGAAGCTGAGTTCTCGGCAGAAATTCACATTGATGAATGGTGCACTTGCTAACTTCGCTTCATCCACGTGCTACACTGTGATGCAGCCATTTCTCCGAGATGAGGTGAGTGAGAATACAGAGACTCTTTTTATAGAAAGAGAATTATCATTTTTATTATATATATATTTTTTATCTTCTAGAGGACAAAATAGATTCATCCTAGATGGCCTAAAACGCAATACCATGCGTGACCACAAAACTTACGAGAACTTTATGAAAGTGGGATAGCACAACGCATGACATTTGATGCCCCGTAACAGAAAGCATATATTTACAAAGAAGTCCCATTGGGGGGTAGTGATCACAGTTCACGGGAAATAAAACCATCAATTCACAAATCACAGCAAATGTTATTTTACTCATATTTCTCTGATAATGTGCATCGAAAATCCTGAAAATCAGGAATCGCTGGGTATCGACTCGTTTCATGAAAAGCGAAGAATGAAAAGCCGCATTTAAGAGTCAGGGGAAAGGGGTGCTTCACGAATCACACTAAGATATGAGCGTTTTACTCTTCTCGGGGATAAAAACAAGTCTTTCATGGGTAACTAAAATACCCTATTAGACCCTCTACAAAGGTAACATGCAACGTATGTTGAATGCATACTAATGTGTAGAGGACTGGGAACCTAACAAAAACAAGAAGAAAATTAACTGTGGATGTATGCTGGCAGCTTTTTTCTTTGCCGCGTGGCACTCTAATTAATCATTATTTCTGATCCAACTCTCCTCCAAATCCCGTGAAATTAAATTTGATTTTATGCAAATTTAGTAAAATATCATAACCTCAATATGAAAAAATAGGCTTCATGGTCGCATGTAGGTTTTATATGAATAACATGTACCGGTATAATGGTGTCAACTAGTAATATAACCCGTTTGTGCCCGTTAACGACCTAGATCAGGTTAAAGGCATTTGTGCTGTCTCACTGCATTGTTTGTATTTTCTTTCCCCAGGCAATAAAAAAGGACGTGTCTCTGACAGGTGCAGGGGCAATATTTGGATGTTATGAGGTCGTCATGTTCTCCTGTTCCCTTATTATTGGTTCACAGGTACGAATGGTCGTTTAATTATTTTTCAGCCTGTTACATCTTTCTTTTTTTATAAGCTTTGTTGTAACACCATTCGGTCAAATGTTTTATTGAAATTAATCCAATTTCAAAGTGACTTTCAATAAGATATCATTTAGTTCTGCCAGCATTACAAAAATTAAAACACCAATTTCATCTCTTGAAAAAACGTTGAAAATTACATTATCTTTCTTTAATTAACTTAGAAGGCATTCTAAACAGAAGCTCCAAGGATGTATTGATCCATAGGTCAAATATGGCAGACCCTATACATAAAGAAAAACCGATTAATCCGCTGATGGTGTCCCAGCCTCCACACACGCCATTTAACGGATTAAATCACGGCTTCTGTAAGGCTTCGTCTATCTTATGATCACGGTCTGTGCCCTGAATATCCCGCCGCGTAATTATTGGCAGCGCGAGCCAGTTACTTATAGTAACTTATAGTAACTGGCTTGCGCTGCCAGTATTACGCCGCGGGATATTCAGGGCACAGACCGTGATCATAAGACATACCGCGAATAGAAAATAGAATTTAGAAAATAGACATTGCATGTGAATGAAGCCTAATTGCTAAGCCCCTGCAAGGACGGCGCTTGTGGAGGTGGGGGAGATCATCAACGGATTAGTCGCCTCTTGNAATAGAATTTAGAAAATAGACATTGCATGTGAATGAAGCCTAATTGCTAAGCCCCTGCAAGGACGGCGCTTGTGGAGGTGGGGGAGATCATCAACGGATTAGTCGCCTCTTGTTTCACCTAGGGTCCGCCATATTTCATCCGTGGATCAGTATATCCTCGGACTTTCTGTTCTGAATGGCCTCTTATTTTGTTTCAGTTATCTCGCATTGGCTCTAGGCGTTGTTTTTACACAGGGACATTTGTTATTGGCGTGAGTTCGTTGTCCTTTGGGTGCGTAAATTTTTGTCGACATGGAATCTTTTTTCTGCGTTGTCTGGGGAGATTGATTATTTTTGATTATTGATTGTGATAGTCATGTTATGAGCGTTAGTCTTTAATAACCACTTTGTCAAGATTTACGCTATCCAAAACGGAAAAATACACGCAATTCTTCAACAGTTTGGATGTGTTATACCTTGTTGATGAAGCAAAAACGGAACAAAAAATTGAGAGAGAAACGTACATGTATGATCGTTTGATTTTTATGTAAATATCTAACACCCAAACATTTGTGTTTGCAATGTTTGTGTTTGTAATGTTTAAACTGCGTGTGGCTGACCATCAGATCATGACCAAAGTATCAATAACATATTTCATTTGAATAAATCCTGTCGCTGAATAATTAGAAAAGAAAAAATTTAAATAATAAAATGTTATTTATAAATCTTACCTGTGTAAGGTATATTGTTTTAGTCTTTTAGGTGCCTGTCCTCCCGGTGACACTTTTCTTGGGCTTGCTGTATCAATACGTATGATAGAATCATTGGGTGCGGCAATGATGTTAACGGCCAACTATGCCCTAGCAACAAAGGAGTTTAGAGATAACGTAGCAACAGCGTATGTAAGTAGATGAAAATCCTTAGTTCCGTATGATACTATTTAAAAATTAATTTAATGCAGCAAAAAAAAAAAAAAAAAAAAAAAAAAAAAAAAAAAAATCATTGGGGATCGAGTTTAAACATGTATGATAAATGTACTTAAAACTGAATACACAAGAAAAATATATAGTTTTCCGTAAGATTGTACGATCTTTAATTTTCAAACATTTCTAAGCATCAATGTTTTGCAATCGTCATATATGATTATACATTATAATAAAATATTACATAAGGAGTTGTATTTGTATACTTTATACATGTATGTCTTTATTTAAATAGTGCATATCTCAGAAAATCGAATAAATCGATGAAATTGAATTTCTTTTTATTGTTACATGTAAGTGATATCCTTACATTCTATTTCATCTTAGATTCCCTTTAGATTATGTTACATGCACCTTAGTTTTGACATTTCACTCTTCAGGGGTTCTTAGAAATGTGTGCAGGATTTGGTCACGTCTTCGGCCCCTTGGTCGGTGGCGGCCTCTATCAGCTGGGAGGGTTTGGCTTGCCGTTCTTCGTGACGGGACCAATGACCATTGTCATAGCATCTGTGGCCATTTTTACTTTACCAAACGAAAACAAAGATGAAGGTAACTTGTCACATCAATATTTGCTATCCAGTATTGGGAAATTTCCGCCGGTAAGAGTTGATAGCGCCTTTGTTTTCCTGAAATTACGGTCACACATACGGCCATAAATTACGGTCAAAAATTTTTTAAGCAGACTACTTGATGCACATGTACCAGGGGCAGCAAAGAAACCAAAGGAGTAAGTTATTGAAGAAGTAAAAGTCACAATTAAGGCATCAAACGCTGACCATGGCTGATAATAGCATTAAAAAACAATTAGATACATTGGTAATAAAAGTCAAAATAAATCGCAAGAAATAGGGGAACACGGAGGGAATATATTGGACAGCGTCACAGAATGAAGACGCATAGAAAACCCTAGAAATGTCGCGATTGACAGGGTTAAAGACAGTTGAACCAGCATAATCGCCTTTAACGGTCCGCAGGGGACCTGATGATGACATAGAGTTATAATCAGTATAATTAAAGGGCAATCAATTCAAGTATTGCCTTCTTCCTCATATTTATCACTTCCAAATACTTCCATGTAACCTGCTCGACTTTTCATTCACAGAAAGGCCGTCAGACTATGGGCAGCTCATTAAATTAGCAAAGATACCCGCCATACCTCTGGAACAACTGGCCGTTTGGGTAGAATTTTTTGGACTTTGTGCTTTAAGTCCCACACTAGGAGGTCATTTACAGAATGTAAGATTTTTTAATTACAAAGTCATCGCAACTTTATTTTTATAAAACTGCTTGCATTATTATGACTAAAAGGAAACGAAAGTTTTGAGAAATATATTCTCGCCATCACTTCTTTACTTATTTTATTAATTATTTCAACTTTGCGACGCTTATGTAAAGAAATTTGTATCAATATTGCATTTGCAGGTGGATGCATCTATCCAAGGTAACCATATAATGATCGGCCTGGCGTTTGCTCTTTGTGGGATCTTTTACATGTGCTCAGTACCCTTGGTAGGCTTTATAACAGACAAATATGTAAGTAGCTATATATTCCTTTATTTCATTTATCTTTTTCTCCCTATTCTTTGTATTAAACTGCAGTATAATTGTACATCTGTTTGGCCAAAGCCACATAAAAAAGTTTTTCAAAATAAAATTAGACCGAAACAGACAATTAGAAATACGTAATTAAGTAAAACGTCTCGTTTAATTTGCTCAACACGGATTTATTTTTGGTTAAAGAAGACGGACATTTTGGGGAAAAGACCAAATTATCTTGTTGTTCTTTCTTTAAGTATGTTTTTGAAACAGTTACCTGGTGTGGAGAAAAACGTCACCCCGATAGTAAACCGACGATTTTCTCATTTAAAATACTCTGGTATGCTCCGCTATGCTACATGTAAACTATATTATGCCATGCCTTACCATACCGTATATACCACAATATAACATAACATACATTTACCATACCATACTAAACTATTAAAATATGTGTCACCCTTCCAGCGTTTATAAACATTGCTGCAAGGTTGCCCAAAGTTTTAGTTTTTCTATCATATAAGAACTATAGGCAACCGATGGTCTTGAAAATTGAGTATGTGAGTGGCTATAGCACCATATTGAGCTACCTAGCGTTACCATTGAAACACAAAAACACCCAAGGCTGGGTTGTTCCATAAGAATCATTCAGAGGGTTGGACAGCATCATAATCAAACAGGCACGTGAACCAGATTGCCTTGGTAATGAGGCCGACCGAAGGAAACCGCATCCAGAGAAGAGAGAATATTAATACTCTTTTCTCTTAGAAAACGTTTCATGACATTAAGGAAATTGACTGCAACATTTAACAACAATAGGGCAAAGCATGTTTCTGCGTTTACCGTCAAAAGACGTCTGCACAAGCACCGTTATTTTGGCATTGTTTCTGTTAGGAGACCAGTGATCACTGCCAGGAACCATCTACGTCGAGTCAGATGGTATATCAGAACTCAGGCACAGACACCAGTCAATAACTGGATTATGACACTTTTCTTAGATGAAAACAGGTTAAGCGTTATCCGAATTTATGGACGCGTAAGGGCTTTGAGCACAGCTGCTAAGAAGTATCTTCCCAATTTTCTACTTCTGTCGACAGGATGCGTCTCCATATAAGTCATGCACGGGGTGTATTATTGGCTACTTAGGTTTGGGCGAGCTGGCAGTGGTCAGAATTTCTTTGGGGGCCATGACCACCCATTTATGTTCCAGAATGGTAATGCTACTCCAAGTACAGTCAATGCAACAATAGGCTGGTTGTATGCGAGCCAGACCCAGACCCCCTCCAATGGCCAATTCAACACAGAAACTCATTTAAAAGGTGTGGTTTATCCTATGTTCAAGCAGGGTCTTTCCTGCATGTAGCTAATGGGAAGTGTCGGGAGGGATAAATGGGTTCGTTAATTAACATGCTTGGCGTAGCGACACTATTTTGAATCTGAAGTAAAAGTGGCACCCGTTTTACTTTATAGAATCACAGGAAGGTGATTATAGTCTCGGGACTCATCGTGACAGCTTTATCCTTTACTCTCATTGGACCCTGGGTGCCCCTGACTGAACTATTTCCAAACGACAAGGGGTAGGTATCAATGTCATTAATTTTATTTCATGACGACATCAATTTTGATTGAATTATACTGTTGCCAGGTGAAAATATTGCGAATCGACTTAGCTAATCGACGATTTTCCTAAGTGTACCTGTAGGTACCATTAAAGTTGGTAAAATGCGTTCTTACTAAAATAATTGTCCCGTAAAATCTATGACTCGATCTGAAACATCTACGATAAATCAAAAGCTGCTCTTAACTTTGGATTTCAGGGCAGCGTGGGCTGTTTTCTTGGGGAATTGTCTATGTGGGATTGGAACCGCCAGTATCACTGTAGCTGTCATGGCAGATTGTGTAAACGAAGCCGTGTAAGTTGAGACCTTATGCGGCATTCCGTATATTGAATATTATTATAATTTACTTAAAAAACAAATGTCATTTTTTCTCGAAAAGTAGACTAAGCATCAATTAAAATGTTCACAAAACGTTCAAAAATTGTCGTCAGTTTTCAATATTCTAGTTAAAAGCGCAAATGTCATTAGTTTGTTACATGTATTTTTATCGTATTATGTAAGTCTAGATCTTTATCACATTTCATTATAATAACTGAGAATATTACCCCATTCAGTTGTATTGCTATTGCATTTTATTGTGCTAGTTGGTATTATTTTACCTCATTCGTTTTATTTATATGTACAATTGCAGGTCCCATGGTTTACCAGATAGTATAATCACATATGGTAATTTGTCCTCAATATTCAATACATCTATGGGTCTAGGGTAAGAGTCTGTATGGTTCCTCTTCGTTTTACTTGCTTTGTTAAATCAGTAAATGTAGCAGTTATATGAATTTATCTCACGTGTTATTCCTGCTATAGATTTGTTTATAATTATCCCAGTGCTGTATGCTCTGTATAAGTTTTAAAAATACTAAAACGTTGTAGGTATTTTTACTCATTCTGAAACATTTTTTCACGTGAATAAAACTTGGGTCAAAGGTCAAAATGTATTCAGTGCTGTAACACGTTGAAACAGCCAGGTTATAATCGACATGCTTGTTTTTAATTCAGAGGAGCTCTTCATTACTTTTAATTATCCAAGAATAAAATAGCTAGCAAAATTGAATTTTAGATGTTCACAGTTTCTTTTGACAGTTTCAGTCACTCATGTTTTTCTTCTACAAATTATTGGGCTCCCCCCTCATTAAAAGTTTAATTTAGTTAAAGAAAATAAACATAAAACTCGTATGTATGCCTTAATTTTCTAATTAATTTACTTCACGCAAAACTCTCCACATAAAATTGAATAATTTTCTTTATATGTTTAAGGAACTTCATAGGGCCGATTTTGGGAACAGCCATCGTGGAACATAATCCATTCAGCACTTTATCGGCAGTCCTTACGGGGCTCTGTCTGGGAGAAGTAAGTACTGCCAGGACAAAAACAGTAATTCTGCGTGAAAAGTTTTTCTTTTTATAAAGTGGGTCACAAACCCTCACGTAAATCATACTTTTGATGAAGGGAAATAATGAGATTAGTAACCCCAAACAAAGAGTGCCTCTTTGAACCTGTTTTATTTAAATACGTGTTCGTTTTTACATCTTTCTCTATCTCTCTGCATTCTGTTTCAGGATGTTAATAGATATCCTTACCTAAGCATTTTCACGGTATGGAGGCAGCAAATGCTTCTATGAACATACGTCAATTTTATTCATATACTGATTACTATATGTGCGTCTTGTGTCTGTTTTCAGGCTGGTCTCCTCGTTCTGTACTGTGGGATAATCTATGCGGTACTTAGAAGGAGACGTAAATGGTCCAGGTACAGCAGCACTGACAGTCCCATTGACAGTGCCACTTACAATCACATTCATAACGATAGTAGTTTACTGTTATTGCCACCAACTCCTTATCCAGTATTACAAGAACATTACTTGCAGTCGGAGTATGAATGACGCTGCCCTCAGTTGCTAGATTGTAGTTCGCCGTACCTGGGCCCGATTCACGAAGCAGTCGTTAATAAGAATAACTACCGACCGAACTATCTCGCTAACGATTAGTACAGGTTAGGGTTACTTAGAGTATCGGGGTTAGTATATGGGAAGAATGTCACCTGTACAAAGTAATGGGAAGCGGACTACGGTTCCTAGCGGACTTCCATTCCTGTCACACCGACCGTAGGGCGGTTCGTCCCCCCCCCCCCCCAACCGGCTTACGCGCCCGCAATCATATGGATAATATTTAGTACGCTAAGCTTTAAGTGTAAAGTTGTCAGATATGTGCAAGTGACATTTTGTAATAAGCCAAAATTGTAAATACATTCTTGGGAGATTGGATTGAGGTATAGAACCCCAGTTCCCTTATAGCCTAGAAAACGGAACTTTAATTGCCATGATACGGTACCTTGCCGCTAACCTGGCACCTATTATTGGCTTCGTTATTTTATACTGTTTATATTGACAGTTACCACATTTTGCTGTACTAATAGTGACCGTTATCACATTCATTGGGTTTCTTGGAAATGCTATCAAATTTCATTGTGCTAGTTGGGAATATTTTTACATTGCATTATGTTACTTTAATGTTATCAAATCCATTGAGCTATAGCTAGTTGAGACTATTTTCACATTTCATTGCGTTTGTTGAATGTGTTCTGTCAACTCAGACTGTCATCTCGTTTAATTGTTGTAGTTGAGATTAACTAATCTCATCAGCATCTTTCATATTATTGCAGGCCCAATGGCTAACCAGATAATATGAAAACATGGTACATGTCAGCAATATACCATACATCTATGGGTCAGGGGAAAGATATCCTATTCATTTATTGTATAGTTTTGTTGAACAAATAAAAGTATGCAGTTATATTGGAGAGAGTATATGATATTATAACGTATATTTCTATTATAAATTTTTTGGTATTTATTGTTTGTTCTATATCAGACGATACTGCTACGATACAAAAACGTGATGGTTTTTCTGACAGTCACTTTGTGAGAATCTTTTCATGCATAATAATGTGTCAGGTCAGCATTACTGTACTATCCCTTAGAAAAATACCAGGCCTGCTGCAAACTCTATCACAAATTCACTGCAAATTTGCTACAAATTTGCTGCAAATTTGCAAAAGCTTGAATACTTTCTTGCAAAGTTACTGCAAACTTTTAATATGGTCTTGTCGCTAATTTGCTGGAACTTTGCCGGAACATGCAGACTTTTCTTGCAAACCTGCTGCAAACTAGCTGCTGCAAACTAAACCCATATTTTCTGCAATTTTGCCGCGATATAGATGCAAACTTTTCATTTTGCCAAGGGATAGGGAAGGGACCATGTTATAAAGTGAACCTGTTTCTTTCGAATTTAGTGAGGTGCTTTTTTACATTCATTGACATAAGTGAGATTCAGCCTGCATAGCAAAGTTGAGATTTTCCATGGTTATATTTTAATAACATTAAAAGTATACAATAACAATAACAAATATAGTCACGTTATGCGCAGTAATATCCCCGTTTTATAAAACTGAATTATAATTTTGTAAATGGAAAATGAGTAAAAACTCGCCACGATTTATTTAATTTCACGTATAACTCCAGCTTTCTTTGGAATTTTTCAGTTTTCAAATTTTTCAATTTATCAGCCCACTTATTGGGGCAGCCATTGTGGAACATGTTATCGGCAGTCCTTACGGCAGAGCAAAACTAAATAAAACTTGAAACGCGTGCGTATTTGTGAAGTGGACCTCAAACCCTATATGAAACACATTTCCGTTATGAAGAGAGAGAAATAACGATTGGGAATTAAGTAGAAATAAATATATGAAGTGAATGGTTCCAAAACAAAGGTGCCTTTTTAAACACTTTTTTAATTAAAATATGTGTTCGTTTTCAAACTTCTCTTTCTTTCTCTCTCACCTTCTTTCGCTCTGTCAGTGGTTGTGCATCTGCACAAATAGCCTTTCAAGAATCGAACTATCATAGTACATTTATGGAGGCGGCCTTGGCCTCTATGAACTTTATTATAATGTATATATGCCCGTTTTCAGGCTGCCCTCCTCGTTTTGTACTATGCAGTAGTCTATGCGGTATTTAGAAGGGGTCGTAACAGATCTGGATACAACAGCATCGATAGTGCCATCGGCAGTGTGGCTTATACAGTTACCCACTGAACGCCATGAGAACATTGCTGTTGCAGCCCCCCCCCCCCCACCCCCCGTAAAACAGAAACATTACGTGCAACCAGAAAGTATGACCGATGATGACGTCAATTATAACTGGACCCAGCGATTGTAAATTGATATAAGTCTGCAAATGATTGCAACCATTAATTACAAGCATTTAGTCTAATCGCTTATAGCGGAAATTGCATAGGGGCTTTAGTGTCCCTCATACTAGCTTTTTTTATGCCACTAGAATGATAAATCTAATAACTAAGCTTTTAGACATAATGCTGCAAATTATCAATTTTGTTGTTTTTGCTGCATGTCCTATTACATACATACGGCCATCAACTTACATGTTAATAATGTCAGAAATGTTTTAGGACAATATTTTTGCATGCAAAATTTGTTGTTCTCAGTGTTGTACATTGCTCATCCCTATACTGTCAGGATAGCACATGCAAACTTGCAGCAGGTGCAAATCCAGACTCTTCTTCTTTAAACCATATATGAGCTCGTTAAAAACAGCAGCCTAACAGATCCGCGGATCAAATATGGCAGACCCACTTGAATGCTTGTTGAGTTATCCCCGCGGGGATCTATTCAGTGTCATAATGGGGAACTAAGCAGCAAGCTTTTATGTGGGTCGCCATATTTCATCCGCGGATCTGTTAGTCCCCTGTTCTGAATGCACTCTATGTCTTTCATTGATACCCTGAGTGTCAGGGCACTATCAAGCTAGCTTGCTCACTATACCTTTCCATGTGGTAGCTTTACAGTCAGTATTGCTGATACGGGTTATATATGAAATCAAGACTGAGGTAGCAAAACCGAAATCTAGAACCTAGGTTACTCATTGAGCGTGCCTGGGATGAATTGACGGTTTTATAACCGCGGAATTCAGCCTACGACCGTCATAGAGTTAAGAACTGCACTGGCGAAAGAATGGAGAAGGATGAATGATAAAATCATAAACCACAGACATACCATTGAAAAAACTCGTTTTTAGCTAATATATATAGGAGTAGGTATAAGGCTGCCCCATCATCTTTTTTTAGGGTTGGTTTATTATAATTCTTACCGCAGATCTAAGATCAACTTGAGATATAAATGCCATCAAACAAAAAATCCGGAATAAAAATCAATGCTCATATAAAGGATGGCAATGCGGTTTTCATAGTCCAGCGGGATTCTTTTCAAAACCCTGCCATCGAAATGCCTTTATGCCTTTTTTAATGTCCATGTAGTGTACATGCTACATGGTAAATCATTTTATCTCAACCCATTAAAAAGGAGCTGTTCGCACCGTTGTAGGCCTATATACTCCTCATGTACATAACAGCACACTTCTGTGACAAATGATTTGTGTTATTATGCCGTAAAATGCAGTCCGCAGATATTTTATCAACGTTCAATTTCAACACTCCTGTGTTTCACAATTTTGTAGGATCCGTGGGCAAACTTCTTGTCCCTTTTGATCCGGGAATGGTTGAATATTTTTAAAAAGTGTCTGTTTTTGGTAAGCCATTGCCAACGTTTAAGTCCGATATAATTTCACTGAACTTATCCTGTATCAGACATTATTGCGACCCAAAAATGAGTTTGAATATTTTATTGGTAATTTAACTAGTACATCTGTCCATTAAATAAATATATATTTGCCCATTTTCGTTTATGATAGTATATTGTACAAGCTCTGATCTATGCAGACGTATAAAGATAAACTGAATAGAGACAAAATAGTTACAAGGTTATGACCACAGTTGAGGCAATAATTTATTTGTGAAACCAACCCCTGTACTTACCATGATGTACCAGCACATGTCCTGCACAACACTGCTTGTCCTTGGCGAATGGTCTAAATCGCTGAAATGAGTTATTTAAATGCGGCACGCAAATTCTTTGTTTTCAGTAATTAACTTGAACGGTCAGCGAGGGATTCATGTACATACTGAGCGCGGCTTAGAGCGTCAAAGCTAAAGGGGACTCATTTCGCATAGTTAAAAGATATAAGAAGAAAAGGGGTATATTTGGATGGCAGGTAGAAAAATACCAAAAAAAAAAATTAAAAAGAAGAATACTGCATTTTAATGTGCATTGGTGCGGGAATGCTCAGAACACCAGGATAACTAAACCTACCCTTGTTAACAGTCCGGTATTTAATCGTAAAAAAAAACATTCATGGTTACTGACAATTAAAAAAAAAAAAAAAAAAACATTGCCGAACTGACACTCAACTTATCAGTGTGAAAGGCCATTTTGTTATTTTAAGTACATCTGCATCATGAATATTTTGGAAGAAATGTTTTTGCTACCTACCTGTACATTATTATTTATTATACTCACAAAAGCTCGTGCTGAGTGACTTGCATTTTTAAAACAGGGGGCAAATGGATATAGCCTGACATGAAGCTTGTTATTTCTTTATATAAAATTAATCGCCACATATTTAACCTCACAAAAGGTGTCAGCAAAAGGACTTACTATTCTAAATTCACAAAGGGGTTTAGGCCAAACAGGCGCATGGGCAAGATTTCTTGTGTAAGGCCTAGGCCCATTGAAGAAAACCACACCAAGAAAAGTGAGAAAGCTAGCTAATACGCAGCCAACGTTACATAATAAAGGAACTTGACTGCAACATTTTACCAGAACAGGGCAAACCATGTTTCTGAATTTACTGTCCTAATGCCCCTATTTCACACAGACCACGAATCCCTCGAATCGCCAGGAATTGATAAATTTCAGGATTCGCAGTTGAATCGAATCCTGAAATTTGATCAAGAATTGCAAGAACTGACT